GATTAGCCCGGATGGGGGGCGGCATGTAAAGACACACCACCCGGCTTAGCGATTAGCAGGGAAGCCGTGTTCATGCTCTCTCGTCACAAGGTGACCAGGAGGCAGGGAGCAGGCTTTCTGGCCAATCAGAAAGCTTGGCGCCGTGTAATGACTCATTGCCTGGCTTCTTGATTGGCGGGAAGCCGGCTCCATGCTCCCTCGTCACCAGGTGGGGGGGCAGGTAATGACTCGCCATACGGCTTCCTGATTGGCCAGCTTCCTGACCAATCAGGAAGCTGGGCGCCAAGTCATTACACACTGCTCAGCTTCCTGATTGGCAAGGGAAGCCTGCTCCATGCTCCCTCGTCACAAGTAGTGATGGGCTCGGGCGTGTTCGCAGCTCCACGTGCCGAGCCCGCCAGGAAGCTGAGACATGTTCCCGTTCCGCAGCTGCAGAGATCGGGAAATGTCTCAGTGCCTGTGATTGGCACTGCGCGCTGTCAAATCCTGGCGGGCTCGGCACGTGGAGCTGCGAACACGACCGAGCCCATCACTGGTCACAAGTGACGAGGGAGCACAGAGCTGGCTTCCCGGCCAATCAGGCAGCGGTACAGCGTGTAATGACTCGCTGCCCGGCTTCCTGATATCAGAAGCTCAGGTATCTGAGCATTTGGGCGAGTATGAGTCCTTGTCCAAATACTCGGCATCGGCACCGATACTAGTATCAGTTCATCCCTAATGTCTTATATGTGCAGTGGTGTGCGTTGCATAAAAATGCAGCATGTCTGCATTTATATACAGGGCTACTCACTGCACCGCATGTCACTGCACCTCTTCGCAATGTTAAATGAAATGTTGGTTGGTGACATTTAAAAAAACTATTTGAAAGAAAAAAAACAGAGACAGCAGTGACAGCTGCAGGAGACCCAAGAGATGGACACTCCTGGAGCTCTTGGTTTTCCAGCAGACTACAGCAACAGAGAGGGCGGATGGAGGTGTATTTACTCTCTTGTTGTACAGGAATAGCTTGCCTGGGTAAAGCCGGGTAAACACTCTTTGAATTTTGGCCGGTTCCTGATTAATGACTGATGGGTGTGATCTCAGGACAATGTTTATAGAAAGGATAAGATTACTAGCAATAAAATCATTATAATTTAATAAACTATATTTACACACTAACCTTAATGACACAGAATTGATAAAATCCTTTAGATCTTTAGAAGTCAGCAGCTCTTGTTTTTCTTCTTCTGAAAACTCTCGTGGCTGATACTGAGTGCAGGCATTCCGTGGATAAGTCCTTTAAAGATAGATACATATAAAACAGCAAACGGTCAGGAGAGGCTACAAATAAAATTAGGGGGAATGGTATCCTGAATTCTCATTTTCTTTAGTCATTTCTGACCTGCCGCCCGGCTTCCTGATTGGTCAGGAAGCCAATGCAGCATGAAGCTGGCTTCCCAGCCAATCAGGAAGCTGGGAGGCGGGTCATTACCCGCCACTGGGTTTCCTGATTAACTGCGAGACCGGCTCCATGCTTCCTCGCGTCACTACCGGTCAAAGGGAATCTCCCTCTGACTGGCAGTTCCGGTATCAGGGCTGCCCTGCTTTCTGAATGGCCGGGAAGCCAGGCCCATGCTACCTCGGGATGCTGGTTATCGGTACTCGCTATCGGCAAGTAACGATAATAAAAATATCGGGACTCGTACTCGATACCAAAAAAACGGTATTGGTGCATCCCTAGCTCCAATAGAAGAAAAAAGCAGAAGGGGAGTGTGGGGAAGCTGAGAATAAGTGGGTATCATGTGAGGTGTTAGGAGGACCTGTCCTGAAATGACAAGGTGATAAAATGTCTTTAACTGTAAAAATAATTAAATAGAGTTAGAATCTCTGTCAGGGTTTTATTGTTCTCTCTGTGAACTTGGTGGGTAGAGTCTTCACCCAACTTCTCCCTACCCCTGCCACTGTGTCAGGATGAGGAAATCTCTGACTGAAACATTGAGCTAGGATCTTACCACTGGGTCTGGGTGCTTTGCTCCTGCAGCATTGGTATGACCTGTGTTCCTGTATCTCGCTCCTTAGGTATAATGTTGAAACGTTTGTCTTGATAAGATGTGCATTCCATATACCCATCTTTCACATCTGACGCATTGTAGTCACTGAAATTGACCTGTGCTCCAAATTCCCGATGTACTCGTGAAATCATAAATTTAATCTGCAGAAAACAACAGAACCAACAAGTCAAGTAAAACACAGTATACATTTTAGGTTCAGTGGAGCAAAATGAAAGCATATTCATGTTACCCTATCTAAATATTTTGCTGGCCTAATACCATATGTATCTCCAGAGTTTAAAGCATTCTAGCCAAATCTTTTTGGATATAGCAGGAATGGATTAGGACCTCAGTCAGGTTTTATTTCTGTTTATGTCAGCATTGGGGAAATTTCTCAGGTTACTTTCTTTCCCTGGTGGCACCATTTACATAGACAAAACATGAATTAAAATCTCCCCATGGTAACAGTGTAATAAAAACCTGACGTAGGCTGCAACCCTTCCCATCTCTACTTAAAATTACTTTTTATTTCTTTGTGTCCCTGTTTACCCTCAATTCATATTACAGGCGGTGCTCACCAGAACAGGAAGTGAGGGGAAGGCTTCAAAAATGGTGTTTAAAATAGGTATTTCGTGAATACCACGAAATACCAATTTCGTGGTATTCAGCTCAACACTTCCGGTTATAACTATAACTTCAATAACCCTTTATATGCGGATGTGCCCCAAAGTTACTGTAACCTTTGCTCTGGATTCTTTGACCATTTCCTCTTCAATTTCCTTTTCGCTACCAAGAGAAACCCATGGTTTGGAAACAGGGGGGTGATAGGTGTAATCTTCTGTGTCTTCTTCCTTTCCTCCTTCATCACTTACAAGTTCAGGCGGCTACAAGACAAAAAGAAAAAAAAAACTCCTATCACTGATAGTTTTTGTCTCCATATTCTCTGTAAAGCTTAATCTCATTTTATATTTTCAGAACAGCAATATTGAATTAGATATTGAGCAGTTATGTGTAGTGACCGATTCATTCACTTAACAGCCGATCTATGATTGTTTTTTTAAAATGCAGATTACAGATTAAAGTTACAGTTGGGGGAAGGTTGTGACATATTTGTCTCATACTGATTCTGTTTTTGTGACGTTCTAGAAGGTGGAGAATGCGGGCACACAAAACCGTATAAAGCAGAATGTCTAAACAGCACATTGGTGACGCTGGAGTGGAAAGGTAAATGCAAGTATTATTCCGCACTTAAAGCTTTTTAGTGGTGTTGATCCTTAAAATTCATAATGAAAGTGTTTAAATGTGAAGGACTGTCCAGATTATGCAGAAGTGTAGTGGAGACAATGTGGAGACACAGAGCCGTCTATCCAGCGGAATATTTTCTCTTTATATAAAAGATATGCTTTCCCTATCTCCTTCATTTTCCTTTTTAATTCCATATGATTCTAGAAAATAGTCTATCTAAATAAACACCAATACCAGTAACCTATGGAGAAGCCCATTTTTTTAATAAAATTGAAAAGAAAAAAAAAGAACGGAGAAATCCAAATTCATTACATGCAGAATGGATTCCTTGGCTTCTTCCGTTATGACCAGATAAAAATTCTGTCCGTATCTAAATTCTGAGTCAAGGACGAGCAGCAACTCTTCTCCTGGATACTCCTAAAACACAAGGAACAAAAGGAAAAATATGACCAAAAACAATACTTTATCTCTGTTTGGAAAATATTGCTCAATGAATGTCCCCTTCTAGAAGCACCCACCCATAGCTTTAGTGCAGTGGTAATCAACTTAATATAGGGGGCCTAAAGTGCGTCCCTACAGGAAATGGCCAATGACTGCAGACATGCAATAGGAGATGGTTGGAGACTGGGGGCATGCTGCAGGAGATGATTGGAGACTGGGGACATGCTACAGGAGATGATTGGAGACTGGGGGCATGCTACAGGAGATGATTGGAGACTGGGGGTATGCTACAGGAGATGATTGGAGACTGGGGGTATGCTACAGGAGATGATTGGAGACTGGGGGCATGCTACAGGAGATGATTGGAGACTGGGGGCAGGATACAGGAGTTGGTTAGAGACTGGGGGCATGCTACAGGAGATGTCTGTAGACTGGGGTATGCTACAGGAGTTGGTTAGAGACTGGGGTATGCTACAAGAGTTAGTTAGAGACTGGGGGCATGCTACAGGAGATGATTGGAGACTGGGGGCATACTGGAGATTACTGTCATTACAATCCCTTTTACAAATCAGAGCCCACTACAGCCCCCAAAAATAAATAGAAGCACATTTGATATTTTTTTTATAAAAAAGGTTAGAGAAAAAAAAAGAATGGACAAAACAGAAAAAGTAAGAAAGTGGGAAAGAAATAAACCAAAGCTATTTAGCAAGTAGAAAAACTAGTATAATGAATATTTTCCAAAGCACCTAGGCAAGAAAAAATATTGGCCACTGGCTTCTAGAGCTGCACAGTAAGTACCAAAAGGTGACCTGTCAGTTTGGGCACCATTGCAATAAGGACCTACATAATATTGTATCTTGGGAGGGGGGTGGGGGCTTTGAGGACTACAATAAAAAAATCTAAACTATAAAAGGAAAAAAAAAATCTGTCTGAATTACACTCTTAGACAATTGCAACAGGTGACCTTATTGGAAGATTTCCTGCTGCTCTTGCGACCCCTGTAGAATTTTTGATCTCCCATCTCTTTCAGTCCTGTTAGTTATCAAGACAGCATTTAAAGCCATTTTTAAAAGCTGTCCAGGCAGATATTACAAAAATACCAATGATTGCATTTATTTAAAAATCATTACATGCATTTTAAATGCCACTAGTATAAATGCATGAATTTGACTTGTTATTGGCCTTTACAGCAGAGGGAAGGACAGTTCTTGGGCTAATCAAGTGTTCCACATGCTGACAAAGAATATGTTGAGACTGTAACAAATAAGTCAAGGCAACTGGACTTGCTGTATTTTTCTTGAAGACGTTTCTCAATTCAGCATGACTTGTACAAAAATGAAGTCTGTCACATACAATGCTGTTTTAACATCTCTCTCTGGGCAAGTTATTAACACCTCCTAACTCAAATTATGCAAATGCATCAACACCTTGTTGTGACTAACAGATTATGTGGCTTGCAGCAACATTCACCATATTTAATATTTAAAGCTGGTTGGATGTCCAGTGAAACGTCTTCAAGAAAAATGGAGCAAGTCCAGCTGCCTTGACTTATTTTTTACAGATATACCATGACCTGGATAAATGAGAACATTCACAGGCAATATGCTGAGAGAGGAGAGAGAGGTGGCTTCATCAATCTGTTACTGCGCCTTTACCGTAAAGTCACAAGCTGAGAGCAGGGGGCTGACCAAGCTGTGCTGCTTAACGTTGGGATAGAAAAGTCAAGTCACCAGGCTGTGCTGGGTAGCAGGACTGGGTAAATCTTAAGAATAAACAGACGGAGACACATATCCTTTTTCAGGTAAAAAACACTTCCATATAAGTGTTTCAACTGTATATTTAGCTGGTTGCCTGGCTTAGCTTACCAGCTTTAACAATACATTTAACAATTTTAATAAATACACAACTGCATTAGCTGGTATTTAATGTATTTATTGGTATTAATATCTGCTTGGATTTTGCCTTTAATATAAATAGCTTAGTTCCCCAGAATTCTATATACAGATCTGTGCTGTGGATGTAATCAAACCCCCAGAATAGCTCCATAAACACACAGAATGACACGTTGCGTACCGTTATAACAGATTTCATGGGGCTGAAGTCCGAAACAGCAGCTCTGGTCTTCAGATCACTTAGTATGTCTTCTTTTTTCAATAGTTTGAATGGGTTGTCTTGTGTGACGTCCTCATCCACTCTACACTGGAAGATTTCCTGTGTTTTAGATGTTAAAACTAGAGGAATGGCATAATCTGGATGACCTGTACAATGAAAGATTCAATAAAACAGTATGACAAGTTGGCCATTCTACCAAACATAATACATACTGTACATGCCAAAGCTTTTGAAATATTCAGTCTATTTGTCACCTATTGTGCAAAAAAGACAATATGATCCCATTGGGGGCATGAATGAAACACATACTTAATTACTTTCCCGGAGTGCTTCCTTGCTGTTCTGTGCCAGAATTTCTATCATCTGAATAGCAGTTTTCAAATATGCTAATAAAGCCAACCTGATATATATGAAGCTTTAAAAACTAAAAGCCAAATCTAAGAGCAGAGCTATTCAGCACAAATTATTTGGATAATGTTGACCCTTGGGTGACAGGGTCATTCTATCATCAGTTTGACCTGCTTTCTATATCCTCCAGGGAATCTGCCTCTGGGGGTCATGTCTGTGCTGTCAGAGTCTTGCAATGCCAATGGGATTTGTAGCTGCATCACGGTTGGAAGACCAGAGTTTACCCTGCTCTAGAGTATTTTTTTTTACAAGGATTGAGCCTTGGCCTCTGCATATTGTAGAGCTGCCTATATTTAGCCCTCTATAGTCTATAGTACTGTGCAAACCTGTAAAGAAATGATGTAATGTGAGGATGTTTTCACAAATATTAAAATCTAAATATTAAAAAGTGTAAGCTTTTCATTCATTCAAAGGGCATATACAGAAAAATAAATCAATATTTGGTGTCTCAGCCCTTTGCCTCTAAATTACCTCTTGCAGTGGGGCTACATCCGAACTACAAGGGTTAACCCCTTGTTAATGTCTAGGGGACCGGTGTAAAGGGCTTTTACCTACCTGCTTACCGCTCCTCCGGTGGCCAGCGCTCACATCACCTCTCCCCTCCACTCCACTCCTGCTTGTGGGCTGTCCCTCTGCGTCATCACTTATAATGCAGGGCTATGGACCATGCATTAGATGTGATGAGGTCAGCGGGCCTCCGACTGCTGGAACAGAGGGGGGAAAAAGGGTGTGGATGTCGGTCTTGGAGCCTGTGGGAGAGGGGATCAAATAGGTAAAAGTTCTTTACTCAGGTCCCATAGACAAAAAATGAGGAGTTGACCCTTGAAATGCAGGGGTAGCCCCTCTGCAAGGGTAGTGTTCTTATTACCTAGACTTTATAGGTGCTGCTAAAATGGTGGGATCTCACTCTCTTTTTGGAACAGAATTTTACATTAAATGATAAATAAAGCACAAGGAGAGGGAAAGATGACAGAGGTGAAAACTGTACTATTGGGATTTCATTGCTATAGTCAAGAGACTGTAGCCAGTGCGCTATTTAGTCCACCAGTCTCTACCCAAAACCAAAATATAAATGGGTTTTTTTGGACTGACCGTTTAAAATAAGCCTTTCTAATCTCAGCAAAAACCTTTTTGTGTCATTTCTGGTAAACCACTTCAGATATTGTGAATAAAATAGAAAAGAAAACCTTCAGGAACGGTGACAGGCCTGTGATTATAGCTTGGGCTTCCAGCTCCGGAATGTGGTTATCATCAGTAAACATAGTATATTGGAGGAAGGAAATGCGGGCTGAAAATAAAATGAAGGATGTACCGACCCCAGCAAATCTTATTCTGGAGGTCAGCAACACATTAAAAAGGGAAAAGGTGGAGTCTGTTTTGGTTGGGTTTTTATATCCTACAAGATTTTATGTGTCAAGGACTTGTGTGTGCATTCAGCCATACCATACAAAGAGCAACAATGTGCAAGCAACTAACTCGTTGATTGATATCAAAGCTCTATGTAACTGGTCAATGATCACCTTCTGCCCGGCACTGGATCAAAGTTTGGCAGGCTTATTCACACATTCAGAGAAGATCATGATCCACAAGGACTTCTAAGATGTGTATTCAAGTGGTTTACAGCTGATCACCATGCGGAAAGCCTTGGCAAATTTCTCCAGAGGATGTGCCAAACCATAAAGCCCATTTATACGAACACTGTCTGATGTTAAAGCCCGGGTCTGGGATAGGCTCACAGGGGGCGGGTTCCTGACACCCTGGGCTCACAGGAAATGAGTTGAAAGACACTGGGAGTCATGCAGCCAGGAACAATTTTAAGTGTCTATTGCTGTGCATTGCGTTTAGTCAGCCCATGTATTTGAACTTGGCAACACTCAACAGCGGACTGAAATCAGACCGACACCATCTCTGGTAACATCTCTGGTGTTGCCGTGTACCAGAGATGGTGTCGGTCTGTTGCCTTCGGGCCTTTGAGGCACCATTGGAAACGAATCGCACTGCAAAGCACTAACGTGTATAGTGCATTTTCGTGCATTGCCAAAACACATAGGTGTGAATGGGCTACTAAATTTTGGTTCTCTTATTACTTTCTGGTTCAGTGACAATGGTCACCAGCAAACATACAAAGGATGAATCAACCCAGTGGGGACACATACAGCAATAAAAACTTGATGGGGTTATAATCCTTTACTGTGCTATACAAAAAAAATGTTTTAAAAGTCTGGACTCTACATACATTTTAAGGACCAATATGTAGGCTTAAGAAGTGGAAGGGGGTGGACCCAATTAAAGTTACAGAACAAATCAGCATATATAATTTCAACTGCCTGTATCTCTATAACAGCAATCTCAATGATATATGTTCTCACTGAAGGAAACCTCGGATTCTGTATGTTTTTCATCTTAAGCCAGGTATGAGACCCCATTCACACTGAGCGTTTTGTAGCGCAATGTAATTTTAGTAAGCTCAATGTATCTCTTCCAATGCATTTCAATTGAGATGTTCACATCTTGCAGCTCAGTTTCACCTTTACCTTGTAGCTTAAGCTTGTCACTCGAACATGACTTATTTTTCAGCGGATTTTGTGCGATTTGGCTCCGATAGACTGCCAAAAGAAGCGCTACGTAGCGCAACAAAATGTGCACTGTAGCTCAATGTTGCTCAGTTCAAATCAGCGCTGAAAAAGCACTTTTTATGTTGTAGCTCAGTGTGAATGAGGCCTGAAGTGCTCAAATTTGTGACAAGTACACTTTAAGTCATCAAAATGTATAGCTGCAAGGTGACCCTTTAAAACACTTTGCGTCTGACATACACAGATAAGTTTAATAAAGTCTCCAAACTCTTCGCTGGAAGCAGTGCTATGTAAAGTGATCCATTTGTTCTTATAGCTGCCCTCGATGTATACAAAACAAGCCATCAGTAGTGTGTCAGATCTCTGTATAGAAGAGTGAGAAGGTTCATCTAGCTGCCGGCTTCTGCACACAGCACAATGAAATCTGTGTCATTTCCTACATGGAAACTGTGTCTGATGTTTGACACTGTGGGGTGACAGTGGTGTGAGTGTACACAAATGTGTGCCTATGGAATACAATACTGTGCTATAAATTACTCATGCATCTAAACACTGGTGTCTTTTAAAGAATTTGATTGCGTCTTTTTGAACTTCAAGTGACTATAGAGTATTGGTTTGTATACGGTGGTATGGTCACAGAGCCTACCTGGTCAGTAGGCCTGTACCTATTCCCTAAGGTACCCTGTCCCTATTCCTCAGGTCTTCTATACCACGGTATACTAGTACAAAGTGCAAGGATGGCTCCAGCCAAGAAGCAAAATATTGACTTGAACACAAATAAAGGAATTCATTTATCAGCCCAAATATTTGTAAAGAAACACGCATTCTCTTGTGACTCATATGTCCCCTCCAGCTATCAATAAAAAAGGAATAGACTCTGTGCCCAAAAAGGCAAGCAAAGGACTATTTACCAATAGTGATGTGCAGGGGCTTGGTGTGAATCCAGTTCACCGGAGTTCACCCATGCCTGCGCAAAAAAGTGTGACTGACCCCTTGCCGGCTCAATCAGTTGAGGCCAGGACATCCCAGCCCTGCAGCTACATGTCACAAGCCCAGCCCTGCAGCTACATCAAACAGGCAGGGAATGCCTCTGCCGCAACTGAATGGGCCAGGAAGGGACTGTGATAGCTGCAGTTTTGTGTGGACTTGGGTGAACCCCACACATTATTATTTACCGGTATTGCCTGTGGTCTCCTTGCAACTGATTGTCGTTGTCCCCCCCCCTTAACTAAATTACCATGCCTTGTTCTGAACTGTGTCACTGTGTGGAGGCAGCAATCTTGGTAGAGGCAGGGCTTTGTTTCCTCCTCTTAGAGCCTCCAGCAAGGAGAACAGAGGGCATCACAGTAGTGACATCACCAAATCTCCTGAGAAAAGCACCACATTAGCTATCACCAAGCTGAGCTGTTTAATTTTTATGCACAGAATAAAACACACAGCTGCTATCTGGGCAGAGCTTCTTCTGAAGCCAAAGGATGTTGCGTCCAAGGACAAATGCCCAGGAAGAACCTTGCTCGTCAATGCTAAACTAAAGCCCTGAACCAAACAATTGGATTCAGTTCCAATTAAATCTGACAAACTCCTGAAAACTGACTTCACCAATGACTTTTGCAGAGTTTCCTTTCAAGAATAATGGTCTTCCTTTTGTCCATAGTCCAATGTAGCCGGCCAAGTTTTACAATAACACACAGTCACACTAAGCAGTGCAGCGTAGGGTGCAGTCATCAATTCCAATCAATCTGTTGATTCTGTATACTGAAGCCAGATCAGTAAAAATGCATGCTGGCTGGTTGCTGGGGGTTATAGCACCTTGTTCACTTTCTTTACCTTAGGTTGATGACAAACAGGCGACTTTACCGTTCGGCAGCTTTTTTGGGGATGCTGCCACTCTCTATCAGTTCCTATGGAATCGCTCCCTCTGTAGGTAGATGAAGCGAGATGTCACTGACCCAAATATTGCTGAATCTCAATAGCGATGGGAGCAACATCTTGATGACTCAGCTACAGAGGAAGCCATTCCATAGGGACAAACAGACAGCCTCTTAGTGATCCTGCCACTGGGGATTTTGACAATCACCGACAGGATCGCTAGCGGCAGAGTCGCTCATTAGCCTTAGGCTACCATCACATTTCTGTGTTTAATGCGGTTAAATGAAAAAATTCTGCTTGCTGCGTCATTAGTGGGTTTTATAGCCAAACACACCTTCCATAGGAATGAACAGGAACACACATAAGGGGAAATAAAAGTGCAAATGTGAGTCATGAAATACATAGACATGCGATGTTGTCTTACTGAGTAAGGTCAGTATTGTCACTTACCTGAGCTGACAGATGCTGCAGAACCTTCACGCTTTTTAGCTGCATATAAAAAACATAAAATAAAATGACTTTGAAAACAAACATGGTTATACAGGTCTAGATACTGGCCATCACTATAAGCAATACATAGTAGAGCCGCACACCGCTTTTTCTGAAAAGCTGAAAGCAACTTTATTGTTCCAGCATGGATGAGAACGCTCCATTTAGCACCTCTCTCTGACATGTTTCACCTCCTACTGGGGCTTACTCGTTCTAGAACAATAAAATAGCATTTAAGCTTTTCGGAAGCAGCAGTGTATGGCGTCATCAGTTTTACTGTGCTGGCCTGGTTGAGGAGGTACAGATCCCGAAACATGTGCACCTGTGGCTGTGATGGCATCAGTGGCTGACCTTAGAGCAATTGCTTTCATCATAGATGACAAACATATAGGCAATCTGTTCTCAATATTTAAAAAAACCACCTGTACAAGCCCCATTTCAATACCTATAAAGAGTATCCTGCCTTTGCAGAATTGTTCAGTGTCTAGATTAGGGTTGTATTGTAATACTAAATTAGGGTACGGACAATTTTGACTAATCATCTGCGACATCAGAACATGACCTAACATTCAGCTCTCCTGACCCGTCACTTTTATGTCTAAAGCCCAACTCTGGGTTTAGATAAAAATAAATAAAAGTAGTCCTGCTGCTAAAAGAAAATGCAGCTACAATACTTACCTCCCCTCTGGCCATGTCTCTTGAAGACTCACCACTCTGTAGTCTAGCAACAGACCCCTTCTGGTGAGCGTCATTCAACCCGCTTATTGTGAGTGCAGGGCATCATGGGTCTGTCCCCTTGGGAGGTGTCACCACAGCACCCTGCATTCACATTACAATGGTGTGTCATGTCAATTTTCTACTCTTGGCATCATGGAGGACCTTTTAGCATTGGAAGGGTCACATGCTGGCCCTAAAAATATGTGAAGAAAGGGAAGCATAAAAAAATACATGGAAGGGGTGTGTTCGTGGTGGACTGGGCAGTAGGGTCAGGCTAGAAAGAATAAGGCACTTGCAGGCACTGGTCGATGATTCCTATAAGTATGCATCTGGGGTTCTAGGGAAGGGAGCGGTGGGGTGGTAATTGAGGTCAGATGGTTTAGGCAGAAATCACAGGCAGCAGAGTGGCATAGTGGTTAGCACTTCTGCCTTGCAGCACTGGGGGTCGCTGGTCCAAATCCTGGCTAGGTCCCGATTTGCAAGGAGTTTGTTCTCCTTGTGCTTGCTTGTGCTGTGCTTGCTTGGGTTTCCTCCAGATACTCTGGTTTCCTTCCACACTCCAAAGACATGGTGGAAGGTTAATTGGCTCCTATCTAAATTGGCCCTAGCATGTGTGTGTTTGTATCTATGCATGTGAGATAGGGACCTTAGATTGTAAGCTCCTTCAGGGCAGGGACTGTAAAGCTCTGCATAAACTGTCAGCACTACATACATACCTGTAATAAATAAAATCCTTTGATGGAAACTTGTATAAAGAAAAGTATGGAAGTTGCCACTGCTGGCGTATTTAGAAAAATCCTAGCTACCTGGCGACCTCTATATTCAGTAGTTTCCGAAAATTCAGAGCTAGAACCAGCATGCAAATTAGGAAAGTCAGAGTGAAACGCCTAGTCTTCTAAAGTCAGGGAGCTAATATGTTCAGAAATGGAGGCAAGTAATGGCAGCCCTTCATACTGTCTCAGTGCAGGTTTCCTTTCAATTGGCTACTAGTTGCAAATGGGTAAGTAGCAGGCTACCCCAAAATCTACAGCTGGATGGATACAAATTATGGGATGAAAACAGAAACATGTAACAAGGTATACCCGAGTGTTTGCGCTTCCTGCTTGAACTCCGTGTCTTCTTCTTCTTCTCTTTACTCTTAGATCTTCGCGCGGAACCACGGGAGGCCCGGGATGGAGATCGAGATGATTCTCGGGTGGAAAATAGAAAAATAAAACAAAATAAGAAAACAACACACATACACATCAAACACCAATTCTATAGATATGCTCGAGCGTTTCCTAGCAATACACACTGCCTGGCCAAAAAAAGTCACACACTCTAATATTTCGTTGGACCGCCATGAGTCCTGGCATTGTCGTCTTTCTTTAAGAGTTGTTAATTCCTCGTTTTCTAGTGGGTCCCCGCAGGAATCTTCCCCCCGCCCCTTGTAGATTGCCACCATTGCTCTAATGGACGCACCCGTGCACGCTCATGCCCGCAGTGGCTGTGTGCGTCCATAGACACACACAGCCCTGTGGCAGTCCACGCCCCTTCTCTCTTTGATTGATGGCGGAAGAAGCCTATGGCTCTTCTGCCATCAGTATCCTCCAGGCGCGACCCGGAAGTTTGGGGAACGGAGGATCGATTTGGGACCGGTGGCGGGGACAAGCGTAGCTGACAGGTAAGTGTGGGGGGACTGGGGGAGAAAAAAGGTGCTGGGCCGTTTTACCCTAATGCAGAGAACGCATTAAGGTAAAAAACGCCCAGATCTTAATACTACTTTAATGACCCTTTCGCACTTCTACAGTCCTTTGCGGTGCATTAAAGTATGTTTTATTATGAATGGACTGCCAGCACACCTCAGCAGACAAATGAACATCCATACACTGTTTTTGCCGACACGTTGCAGCATGCCTTGTGCATTGGCAGCTACTGTGAAATTCTCTAGGGTGCCATTTACAACGAATAGCTCATAAAGCTGTAGAGGGTGATGGAATTGGTACCGCACATGACGGACAATTCAGGCGAATTAAAAGGTGCTTAAGCAAGTTTTTCTTTGAGCATTGGAGGGTCTTATTTTGCCCAGAAATGGGCAACATCTCTGCATTAAAGGTGAATATTGCAACTAAAGTATGCTAGCCTCTGGATTTTTAATAATAAAGAAAAAACTTTATTTCAAAATGGAAGGCATTAAAGCATAACTAGTAAACAAAACATTTTAATTGTACTTTCCTCTCTTTATCTGCTTTTTTATTTGTCGCTATGGGTCCATTCACACTAGAGCTGTACACACACCAAAGCCCTTCTGTCCTTGGTTGTGGTTATTCTGTTCTTTCAAGTCTAATTAGGTTCGAGTTCAGAAAGATTTATGACATGAACAAATTCTGAAGGACCCAGGAATGCAAAGCCATCACTGAACATAGGTGCTTTACCTGTTTTATAGCACCACCATGTGGACACAATGGGTAGCACATGTAGACACCCCTGATAAATGGAACCTCTTGATATTGTTGAGAGAAAGAATCAGCTTCTGCAAGGATGCAAATTTAAACATGGGGCCTCATATTTCTTACATGTTCCTTGAGGCTTCCCAACCCATTCATCGAACAGGCCCCCCTCTCCCCCCCCCCCCCCCCTCCGTTGCCGCCGCTGCCGTCTCCATGCCACTTATTCATGTCCATTGGTGAAAATCTCGTCTAAGCTTGCTATATGGAGACCTCCACTAAGCGCTGACTATTTGGATAATACATGATTTTTTGTAATAAGTAATAAGGTGACCTTGGAGGACACCTGCAGAAAATGCAGCATGCACTAGTGTAGTATGAACGGCTCGATTCCCAGACAAGTCCGAAGAATTTAGGGCAGAATTGAAGGCAAGTTAAACAAATACGTTTACTATTTCACCCGCAGAAGGATTTGTAGTCCTATTCAGTGAATCATGGGATTTATGCCCCTCTTTGAACTTAAGGCAGGTGACACTCTTATTTCCTGATTGAGCTCTGCCATTTCCTGCGCCACTTTTCTACCTTCAGCTTGGCCACCAAACAATGAATCAGCATCACCTCTTCTATCCAATTAGCAGTGAGGTAATCAAGTTAACAGATGAGATGAACCAGAAAGCAGTAGAGAGGTCATCCTGACTACCTGAGTACCATGGCAGAGGTGTGTGTATATGTATATAATAGAAAGGTGTATATGACAAGAGCAGCAAATCAAAATTTGGTAGGTAAAAACAGTTTTTTTCCCCTTTTCTGAAAGATTTTACATAGGAGAGGGGGGAGCTTTGCAGGATAAGCAGACCTTGCATTCTCATGCATGATCTGCTTCAAACTGACCATGCATATTACAATTTGATTGTAAAATCCCCTTTATATTTGCTAACAACCATGTAGCTTGAGGACTACTTGAATAGATATAAATTAGATGCAGTGTTTATATCAGGAAATTGTATAGAGATTGCAAAATTAGACTGTAGCATGTGTGGCCAGCCTTAAAGTGGGCCCCCATAAAGTGCAACTATACCCGCCATACCTGACATTATGGCAGACTTATCCCCCTAGTGTGCTCTTCTCAAGTAATGCATGCAAAAATCTAGTGCCCGGCTGCCAGTGCCTTTGCTCGAACATCCCATAGACTTGAAAAGAATGTATCCCTATAGCAGGAGCAGCGTCCCATTCAAGTCTAGGGGACATTAGTATGCAAGCACAGCTAGCCCAGCTCTGTATTTTTAATCAGCCGGCCTTTAGACTGCGCAAGAGGCTACAGGTATCAGAGGAGGTAAGTGCGGCCATGCTGGAGGAGGAGGGACCAAATCCTTGTACGGGCGGGAATAGGGAGCAGGGCCAAGAAAAAAAAATGTGCAAACATTTACATATACTTGAGATTAGAAATGATTTGATTATTTGGATAGAGTCAGGGCGTCCCGAGGCTGGGTGTCACCCGGAGCGGAAACCGGGTGACACCCCGCCGTGACGTCACAGTGCATGCACGCAACATCATCATGCGCGTGCACAATGACGTCATCGCGCATATGCAGCTGTCTAATTGACTCCTGCCGGCGGCCAACTTGGTGGTGGACGCCGGCAGAGAGAAAGGGACGTTCACCCGGCGGGATAAGGTATGCCACCGGGTCCCCTCCAGACACTGTCGGGCTATCAGTCCATCACTGTCAGTCATTGTGGTGTCACCCCTCCAATGGTGTCACCTGGGTGCGGGCCGCACCCCCCTTATGATGCCACTGGATAGAGTAAGGGAAGTTTATAAGCCTTTCCCTTCACTTCCTGTCCGGTAGCCACAACAGAAGGTGAGATGAAATCCCTCCAAATGGAGAAAAATCCCTGTTGGTCACCAGAGCTAGTGTCCCCGTTGGAAGAATTCCCATCTATTCCTGTGCTGGTGACAGCCCAAAATGTGGGATTTTCTTTCACTTTCAGTGATAACGGTCACCAGGACAAATATAGAGGAAGGATCTCCTAACAAGGACATAGACAGCAATAAACACCTAACAGGTGTTCTAGTCCCTCTCCACTACATCCAAAACTAAAAGAAAAGGAAGTTTTGGCTTCAGTTGCACTTTTAGGTAACTGAAGAGACTTTCTAATTTAGCACCATGGCAATACATCTTCAATTGCATTAGCAGGTCACCGGTTTTGCTTGTTGCCTGGAAATTCTCGGTAATTAGATATAATTTGCTGGGTATTTGTTCCCAAGGAGAAGTAGAACATATGGTGACCACAGAAATGATGAGGCTACATACTCACGAGACTGTGACTTGGTGAGTCATGATTATTATACTGTCCTCTAGGAGATGGAAAATTCCTGGCAGAGCTACAGCTGGATCTATTTATTGGCATGCTGATATACTGTACACTGCCTGGTCACACACGCAAACATTTCGTTGGGACGCCTTTAGCTTTGATGACGGCACGCATTCGCTGTGGCATCATTTCGATAAGCTTATGCAATGTCACAACTAGGGATGCGCTGATACCGGAATTTCGGTATCGAGTACCGATATTTTATTTTTTTTGGTAGTCGCCGATACCTATACAAGAAGTCCCTTTAAAGAAGCCAGGCAGCATGACTCGCCACCTGGCTTCCTGATTAGCAGGGAAGCCGGGCGGCGTGCAAAGACTCGCCACCTGGCTTCCCGATTAGCAGGGAAGCCATCCCCATGCTTCTCGTCACTAGGTAATGAGAAAGCATGGCTCCGGCTTTCTGGCCAATCAGGAAGCCGGGAGCAAGTTATTACATGCTGCACGGCTTCCCGATTGCCTGGGAAGCCGGCTCCATGATCCCTCACAAGTGTAAATAGATCCACAAGTGACGAGGTAACATGGAGCCGACTTCCCAGCCAATCAGGAAGCCAGGGAGTGTGTAATGACTCGCTGCCCGGCTTTCTGATACCAGAAGTATCGGGCTAGGCATCGGAGCATTTGGCCGATTATGAGTACTCGACCAAATACTTGGCATCGGCACCGATAGTAGTATCGTAAAGGCGCATCCCTAGTCACAACATTTATTTCCATCAAGAGTTGCATTCATTTCTCGCCAAGATCTTGTAGTGATGATGGGAGAGTCGGACCTCTGTGTAATGTCTTCTCCAGCACATCCCAAAGATTCTCAATGGGGTTAAGGTCTGGACTATAGGGTGGTCAATCCATGTGTAAACATTAAGTCTCATACTCGCTGAACCACTGTTTCACGATTTGAGCCCGATGAATCCTGGCATTGTCATCTTGGAATATGCCCAATGTGCCATCAGGGGAAAAAAAATCCATTGATCGAAGAACTTGGTCATTCAGTATATTCAGGTAGGCAGCTGACCTCTTTTTTTGGGGACATAACATTGCTAAACCTAGACCTGACCAACTGAAGCAGCCACAGATCATAACACTGCTGCAAGTACAGGTGGTGACTTTATTTTTTTGGCCAGGCAGTGTATTTAGACTTCAACCCTATATTGAACTTAATAGCATAAGTGACACTGCTCATAGCCCCTCTTACTGTCCCACACAGCTTCAGGTGCCAGATATTCACCGGTATTGCCTGTGACCTCCCTGCAACTGATCGTTCCCCCCATTACTGAATTACCATGCCTTGTTCTGAACTGTGTCTCTGCGTGAAGGCAGCGATCCTGGTAGAGGCAGGGCTTTGCTTCCTCATGTCAGAGCCTTCAGCAAGGAGAACAGTGGGCATCACAGTAGTGACATCACCAAATCTCCAGAGACTAGCACCACATAGCTGAGCTGTTTAATTTTTATGCACAGAATAAAACACACAACTACTGTGGGGGCAGAGCTTCTTCTGAAGCCAAAGGATATTGCGTTTCAGGACAAATGCCCGGGAACAGCCTTGCTCGTCAATAATCAATGCTATCTGTACATAAACTAAAGCCCTGAACTAAACAATTGGATTCAGTTCCAATTAAATCTGACAATGCCTGAAAACTGACTTCCCCAATGACTTTTGCAGAGTTTCCTTTCAAGAATAATGGTCTTCCTTTTGTCCAAAGTCCAATGTAGCCGGCCAAGTATCACAATAACACACAGTCACACTAAGCAGTGCAGCGTAGGGTGAAGTCATCTATTCCAATCAATCTGTTGATTCTGTTTACTGAAGCCAGATCAGTAAAAATGCATGCTGGCTGGTTGCTGGGTTGTTATAGCACCTTGTTCACTTTCTTTACCGTAGGTTGATGGCAAACGGGCGACTCTACCATTAGAGAGTGGCAGGATCCCCAAAGAAGCTGCCTATCAGTTCCTATGGAATCGCTCCCTTTGTAGCTAGATGAAGCGAGATGTCACTGACCCGAATGTTGCTGAATCTCAATAGCGATGGGAGCGACATCTTGACTCAGCTACAGATGAAGCCATTCCATAGGGACAAACAGACAGCCTCTTAGTGATCCTGCCACTGGGGACTTTGACAAACAACCACCGACAGGATCGCTAGCGGCAGAGTCGCCCATCAGCCTTAGGCTACAATCACATTTCTGTGTTTAATGCGGTGAAATAAAAAAAATTGGGTTTTATAGCCAAACGCACCTTCCATAGGAATGAACAGGAACATACATAAGGGGAAATAAAAGTGCAAATGTGAGTCATGAAATACGTAGACCTGTGATGTTGTCTTACTGAGTAAGGTCAGTATTGTCACTTACCTGAGCTGACAGATGCTGCAGAACCTTCACGCTTTTTAGCTGCAAACATAAAATAAAATGACTTTGAAAACAAACATGGTTATACAGGTCTAGATACTGGCTATCACTATAAGCAAGACATAGTAAAGCCGCTTTTTCTGAAAAGCTTAAAGCAACTTTATTGTTCCAGCATGAATGAGAACGCTCCACCTAGCACCTCTTTCTGACATGTTTCACCTCCTACAGGGGCTTATTCGTTCTAGAACAATAAAATTAGTTTTAAGCTTTTTGGAAGCAGCATTTATGGCATCATCAGTTGTACTGTGCTGGCCTGTTTAGGGAGGAATGGATCCCGAAACATGTGCACCTGCGGCTGTGATGGCATCAGCATTTGACCTTAGCCCTAATGGCTTTCTCCATTGATGAGAAACATATAGTCAATCTGTTCTCAATATTAAAAAAAACACCTGTACAAGCCCCATTTCAATACCTATAAAGAGTATGACCCCAGTCACTTTTATGTCTAAAGCCCAACTCTGGGTTTAGATAGAAATAAATAAAAGTAGTCCTGCTGCTAAAAGAAATGCAGCTACAATACTTACCTCCCCTCTGGCCATGTCTCTTGAAGACTCACCACTCTGGTCTAGCACCAGACCCCTTTCTGGTGAGCGTCATTCAACCCGCTTTCTATGACTGCAGGGCACCATGGGTCTGTCTGACACCCTGGGGGGGTGTCACCACAGAACCCTGCATTCACATTACAATGGTGTGTCATGTCAATTCTACTCTTGGCATCATGGAGGACCTTTTAGCGCTGGAAGGGTCACATGCTGGGCCTAAAAATATGTGAAGAAAGGGAAGCATAAAAAAATACATGGAAGGGGTGTGTTCGGGGTGGACTGGGCAGTAGGGTCAGGCTAGAAAGAATAAGATTCTTGCAGGCACTGGTTGATGATTACTATAAGTATGCATCAGAGGTGCTAGGGAAGTGAGCGGTGTGGTGGTAATTGAGGCCAGATGATTTAGGCAGAAATCACAGGCAGCAGAGTGGCATAGTGGTTAGCACTTCTGCCTTGCAGCACTGGGGGTCTCTGGTCCAAATCCTGGCCAGGTCACTATTTGCAAGGAGTTTGTTCTCCTTGTGCTTCCTTTTGTTTTCCTCCAGATACTCTGGTTTCTTCCCACACTCCAAAGACATGGTGGAAGGTAAATTGGCTCCTATCTAAATTGGCCCTAGCATGTGTGTGTATCTATGCATGTGAGATAGGGACCTTAGATTGTAAGCACCTTGAAGGCTGGTACTGTAAAGCTCTGCGTAAATTGTCGGCACCACATATATACCTGTAATAAATACAATCCTTTTATGGGAACCTGTATAAAGAAAAGTATGGAAGTTGCCACTGCTACTAGTTGCAAATGGGTAAGTAGCAGGCTACCCCAAAATCTACAGCTGGATGGATACAAATGATGGAATGAAAACAGAAACATATAACAAGGTATACCTGATTGTTTGCGCTTCCTGCTTGCACTCTGTGTCCTCTTCTTCTCTTTACTCTTAGGTCTTTGCGCAGAACCACGGGAGGCCCGGGATGGTGATCTAGATGATTCTGGGGTGGACATTTCTGAAAGACACACATACAAGAGAGCAATTTATAGAATTACTAAAGGACTAGAAATCTAATGGTATGTTTGACCCTCACAAATACATGGATGAAAGTACCCGATACATCTAATAACCAGGCACGGTACTTAAGCAACTTTCTGGTAAGACTTCTGTTAGATGTCAGTTTACGTTAAGGTGGAATCCACCTATAAAAACTGAAAATAACATTAAAAAACAAAACACACGTACACATTTAACAAAAATTATATAGATATCGCAGAGAGTTTCCTAGCAATACACACTGCCTGGCCAAAAAAAGTCACACATTCTAATATTTAGTTGGACCGCCATTAGCTTTGATTACAGCACACATTCACCATGGCATTGTTTCTATAAGCTCATGCAATGTCACAACATTTATTTCTGTCCAGAATTGCATTCATTTGTCACCAAGATCTTGTAGTGATGATGGGAGAGTCGGACCTCTGTGTAAAGTCTTCTCCAGAAACGTCCAAAAGTTCTCAAGGACTGCATCCCCAGATCATAACACTGCTGGAAATCCCAGGCAGTGACTTTTCTTTGAGCAGGCAGTGTATTTAGACTTCAACCCTATATAGAAACCGGTAGCGGAGTGACATCCTCTTACTGTCCCACACAGCTTCAGGTGCCAGATCATAGAGACACCGCTACAAATAATCATATGAAGAATGTCACCAGCACACCAAAAATCCTTCCGGGATCACCAAGTGTTCATTCATTCAGAACCATGTCAAGTAAAACATTATTACAACATATTAGAACATCATAGTTTTACTTTTTATGGTTCTGACTGAATGAGCACTTTGTGATCCTGGAAGGATTTTTGGTGTGCTGGTGACATTCTTCGTACGATTAGAGCAATCGCGGCGCCCTCCGCAGTCACTACAAGCACCCTTCCCTGAAGATTGGGACATCCGGTAAGGAGTGCAACAAGACATCCATAGATTCTTATCTCTATAAATAAGTCCTCTTCAGGGTGAAATGCATCAGCCAGGCACAGGAGTGCTATTTGATCGCCTTATAATAAAACATTCATTTACTGACATTAGTGTGCCATGGCCAGGATTGTGTCTACAATGAGCCTGATGTCCTTTGCAGCTTTTTTAACCTTTTATATAATACAGTTCAAAATTCAAAGTAATGTCTTCTACAGTAGCAGTAGCGACTCTAGGATTATTCTGGAGTCAAATTGCAGGATTTTGACTTGAAGCGCAATAGTCCAGACACTGGAAGATGTCTACAATGAGCCTGATGTCCTTTGCAGCTTTTTTAACCTTTTATATAATACAGTTCAAAATTCAAAGTAATGTCTTCTACAGTAGCAGTAGCGACTCTAGGATTATTCTGGAGTCAAATTGCAGGATTTTGACTTGAAGCGCAATAGTCCAGACACTGGCAGAACTACGAGGGTCGCAATTGATAAAGAGTATGACCCCAGTCACTTTTATGTCTAAAGCCCAACTCTGGGTTTAGATAGAAATAAATAAAAGTAGTCCTGCTGCTAAAAGAAATGCAGCTACAATACTTACCTCCCCTCTGGCCATGTCTCTTGAAGACTCACCACTCTGGTCTAGCACCAGACCCCTTTCTGGTGAGCGTCATTCAACCCGCTTTCTATGACTGCAGGGCACCATGGGTCTGTCTGACACCCTGGGGGGGTGTCACCACAGAACCCTGCATTCACATTACAATGGTGTGTCATGTCAATTCTACTCTTGGCATCATGGAGGACCTTTTAGCGCTGGAAGGGTCACATGCTGGGCCTAAAAATATGTGAAGAAAGGGAAGCATAAAAAAATACATGGAAGGGGTGTGTTCGGGGTGGACTGGGCAGTAGGGTCAGGCTAGAAAGAATAAGATTCTTGCAGGCACTGGTTGATGATTACTATAAGTATGCATCAGAGGTGCTAGGGAAGTGAGCGGTGTGGTGGTAATTGAGGCCAGATGATTTAGGCAGAAATCACAGGCAGCAGAGTGGCATAGTGGTTAGCACTTCTGCCTTGCAGCACTGGGGGTCTCTGGTCCAAATCCTGGCCAGGTCACTATTTGCAAGGAGTTTGTTCTCCTTGTGCTTCCTTTTGTTTTCCTCCAGATACTCTGGTTTCTTCCCACACTCCAAAGACATGGTGGAAGGTAAATTGGCTCCTATCTAAATTGGCCCTAGCATGTGTGTGTATCTATGCATGTGAGATAGGGACCTTAGATTGTAAGCACCTTGAAGGCTGGTACTGTAAAGCTCTGCGTAAATTGTCGGCACCACATATATACCTGTAATAAATACAATCCTTTTATGGGAACCTGTATAAAGAAAAGTATGGAAGTTGCCACTGCTACTAGTTGCAAATGGGTAAGTAGCAGGCTACCCCAAAATCTACAGCTGGATGGATACAAATGATGGAATGAAAACAGAAACATATAACAAGGTATACCTGATTGTTTGCGCTTCCTGCTTGCACTCTGTGTCCTCTTCTTCTCTTTACTCTTAGGTCTTTGCGCAGAACCACGGGAGGCCCGGGATGGTGATCTAGATGATTCTGGGGTGGACATTTCTGAAAGACACACATACAAGAGAGCAATTTATAGAATTACTAAAGGACTAGAAATCTAATGGTATGTTTGACCCTCACAAATACATGGATGAAAGTACCCGATACATCTAATAACCAGGCACGGTACTTAAGCAACTTTCTGGTAAGACTTCTGTTAGATGTCAGTTTACGTTAAGGTGGAATCCACCTATAAAAACTGAAAATAACATTAAAAAACAAAACACACGTACACATTTAACAAAAATTATATAGATATCGCAGAGAGTTTCCTAGCAATACACACTGCCTGGCCAAAAAAAGTCACACATTCTAATATTTAGTTGGACCGCCATTAGCTTTGATTACAGCACACATTCACCATGGCATTGTTTCTATAAGCTCATGCAATGTCACAACATTTATTTCTGTCCAGAATTGCATTCATTTGTCACCAAGATCTTGTAGTGATGATGGGAGAGTCGGACCTCTGTGTAAAGTCTTCTCCAGAAACGTCCAAAAGTTCTCAAGGACTGCATCCCCAGATCATAACACTGCTGGAAATCCCAGGCAGTGACTTTTCTTTGAGCAGGCAGTGTATTTAGACTTCAACCCTATATAGAAACCGGTAGCGGAGTGACATCCTCTTACTGTCCCACACAGCTTCAGGTGCCAGATCATAGAGACACCGCTACAAATAATCATATGAAGAATGTCACCAGCACACCAAAAATCCTTCCGGGATCACCAAGTGTTCATTCATTCAGAACCATGTCAAGTAAAACATTATTACAACATATTAGAACATCATAGTTTTACTTTTTATGGTTCTGACTGAATGAGCACTTTGTGATCCTGGAAGGATTTTTGGTGTGCTGGTGACATTCTTCGTACGATTAGAGCAATCGCGGCGCCCTCCGCAGTCACTACAAGCACCCTTCCCTGAAGATTGGGACATCCGGTAAGGAGTGCAACAAGACATCCATAGATTCTTATCTCTATAAATAAGTCCTCTTCAGGGTGAAATGCATCAGCCAGGCACAGGAGTGCTATTTGATCGCCTTATAATAAAACATTCATTTACTGACATTAGTGTGCCATGGCCAGGATTGTGTCTACAATGAGCCTGATGTCCTTTGCAGCTTTTTTAACCTTTTATATAATACAGTTCAAAATTCAAAGTAATGTCTTCTACAGTAGCAGTAGCGACTCTAGGATTATTCTGGAGTCAAATTGCAGGATTTTGACTTGAAGCGC